ACTACCTTATGCTGCCTTCATCGCAGCAGGATTTCAGATAAGTTCTGTTGGAATCTTGAACCAGCAAGCAACAGATTATTGGATGTTGATTCACTGGAAGCATCAAAAGCAACTCGTAGTTTAGTGGTTGTACTGTCCATTTTGAATACTGCTTGAGCTGTAGTATCTGCCTTTATGAAGATTTTGAAATAATACTTTTTTCATATGCCCTAGTTTTAAATATTCATCCATATTGTTCTTTAAGGAACGGTTCTCTCAAAAACCGGTTTTTCAGGCTACTTATGGCGGTTTGCACCGACCATTTTAAGGGAGGTTTAACGATAATCAACGCTTAAAGTGACATTTTTATATGTACAAATGTCACTTTAAACGTTGATTATCGTTAAACCTCCCTTAAAATGGTCGGTGCAAACAGCCATTAAACGGGCACCCGCTCTAGGTTTTGTTTGTCCTAAGTAATGCTCCGTTTGAATGGAATTCAGACTATAAATCTTCCTTTTTCATCTCGATATGTAGTCTCATCGTAAAATTTTTCGCAGATTTTGTCATCTTCTGATATGTATTTATTAGTTTTTGGCAACTCTTCTAATTCCCGAAATTTCCTGAGTTGGCTACCTTCTTTATGTCGGGAAATCATGCTGGTCACTTGAAGTGGAAGGTGGTTTGACGATACTCCCCCAGATACCATCCATCCTAGTTCTGTATTTTACTTAAGACGCCTAACATTTTTACCTCAAGTGAAAAGTTGCTCGGAAAGCGTGGCTTATGCGGAGATCTATTGCCGAGGAGCAAACTAACATCTCATATGCCTGAAATTTCTGCTCTGATTTTCTGACGTGGGATAGATTAAAAGACGCTTCTGTTATAAACGCAGATTGTGATCCTTGGTCAATGAGGACACGTATTTATACCTACCTAAGTATTGGGTTGTGCTAGCTGTTGCTACCTTTACCAATGCTGTGGCAAGCCGAACATTCTCTTTATGGTTCTTCTTGATGTCTGTCGTCTGATGTCCTGAGTTTTTGAAGTAACGTTGATTGTTTTCATTATCTAGGATTCTATGATGATGCTTTCTGCAGACATTGCAAGTTACACTTCTGCGACATCTAATATGCTTTTTGTGGTTGAGAAAGTTCAGAGAGTTGAGAGAGAAACTTGAGATAGGTATATGGAATCAGGGGTAACGCAAATAAATGGATATATTTTTGTACTTCAAACAGAACACATCGTGTTATCATTGCAGATGGAAATAATGCCAAAAAATCAAAAACTTTAACAAATAACAAGTGATGTGGGAGTTGCTCAAGGCAGTGTACTAGGTCCAATACTGTTTGTTATTTACTTGAATGACATAATGCAAATAAAGAGGGAAGTATGGTAAATTTTGCTGATGACACCAACAGCTATTGACTGGGCTACAACTGCCCAAGATATAGAACATGAAGCAAATGCAATATTCTCTAAAATAAAATTCTGGTTCTGGTTGGTAATATTTGATACAACACACTCACAAAAAGATAAAATTTGTTCATTGAACCTCCAATCAGATAGTTTTGAAATATCAAAGTCTGCAAAGTTTTTAGGGGTACATATATGGACAAATTCTTGAAGTAGGTACTATGAACATACAGAAAAATTGAACAAGGTATATTTTGCCATCAGAACTGCCATACGATATTTAAATAATCAGACTCTAAGGACATTATACTTTGCGAATTTTGGAGTCAGTTTTCAAATATGGAATAATTTTTTGGGGAAATAACCAAAATCTAGAAAAAATATTTCTGTCAGAAAAGAGTAGGTAGGTATTTAGTAATTTGAAAGGTAGTTCACGTCCACACACTTGTAAAGAAACGAAATTGCAGCTTTTTTGGACTTTTTTATTCACGTATTAATCAATTGCCAACGTTTCGACACGGATGCGTGTCATCCTCAGGGCTTGTCTCCGGCAGCTGATAAGAAATGTCCTTTGGTTTGTCAAACTTACCAGTTTTTCCGACGATCGAGACCAAGTTTTTTTGTTTGTAGGTATTTAGGTTAATTAATAAATTACAGTTTAGGGAATCTTGTAGGGATAAGTTTAAGGAAAAAAAAATATTCTCATTGTATATGCTGTTCATTTCTATGAATGTTTAATGTATCTATATAGAAATAAGTCGCAATTTATCACAAACAATTGCAATATGTACTACATTTAACACTTGGACACAAGATTTAGTGTTTCCAATGCATAGGCTGACAGTAACAGAAAAAAAATCCATCATACATGTGCATAAGAATATTCAACAAACTACCAAATAATTTTAAAACAGTAGATAGTCTAAATAGTTTTAAAAGGAAGGTGTAAACATTGTTTATAGTCCTAGAACCATTAGGCCAATGCAAATAATTTTGAATTTGCAAAAATGTTTATAAAACTGCAACTATCGAAAATAGTTAGCGTTAGTACTCCTAGTAAACATACCAAAAGTCCCCATTCGTCCGGTTGTTGCGTCATTAGAAAAAACAATCCGCCATCTTGAATTTCGGCACTTTTCGGAAAAAATCGTGAATAAGTCAAAAACGGTACATTCTATCGAAAAAACTCAGGAGAGGAAAATTGAATAGAATGAAAAAATGAAGGAGGAATCATAAAAACTGAATGCGTGAATGTAGAATCGTCTACCGATATACCAAACTCATCCACAATATCTACAAAAATGCAACAATGACGGTAAAACACCACACCTCATAACTATTGAACGTGGTGTTCAGCAAGGCGACACGATGTCACCAAAACTGTTCATTACAGTCATGGAGAGTGCATTCAAACAATTGGACTGAAGTCAGAGAGGTAAGTATAAACATAAATAGATGGCAAGAACCTGAACAACTCACCTTTTGCAGATGATATAGTGCTATTCTCGGATAATCTAGAAAAAATGCGACTCTTGTTGCAGGACCTGCAAGAGGTGCGTGGAAAAGTCGGTCTAATATCAATATGTCAAAAACAAAATTCATGACAAACCTTGTTCCCAGCTGTGGCTTGAAGATTGACGGAGCTGAAATTCAAATGGTAGATAGATATGTGTACCTTGGCCATGAGGTCAGCATCTCAAGGGATAACCAGACATGTGAACTAAAGAGAAGACTCACTCTCTCATGGGCAGCCTTTGGAAGACTTAAAGACGTTTTCAAGAGTGACATTCCCGTCAATCTAAAAAGAAGGGTTTTCGATTGGTGCGTGCTACAAGTAATGACATATGGCTCAGAAGCCCTAACACTAACAATAGCAATAGCAAAGAAACTCAGAGTTACACAGAGGAAGATGAAGAGTTCCATGCTTGGTGTGATCTTGAAGGACCACATGAGAAACGAGGATTTGCGTAAAAGAACCGATATCAGCGATGTCGTAGGAGCTATTGCGAAGCTTAGGTGGAACTGGGCTGGCCTCGTTGCACTGATGGGAGAAGAGGCTTCTTGAGTGGAGACCTAAAACAGACCAGCGAAGTAGAGGAAGACCGCTTACGCGTTGGTCGGACGATATTAAGAGGATCCGCAGCAACTGGATACAAACAGCACAAAATCGATTGGAATGGAAAATGTTTAGGGCCTATGTTCAACAGTGAATGCAGAGGGCTGGTTTATGATGATGATGACAATAGAACATTCAAATATCCTTCCAACAGTGGAATAATCAAATTTGCTATCATTTCAAAAACTCAAAGTGTTTCATTTGCGAGCACCATAGTACCTCCACGAGCAGAGACTATTCACAAGCTGTGGACGCTGTGGTTATTCCCTTGTATAAAGGTGGAGACCACGATACGCCGTCAAACTTTCGTCCCAAGGCGTTTGATTCTGTGAATCAGAACATACTGTTGTGAAAGCTTAAATGGTATGGTTTTGAAGATTTCAGGATGGTTGGGATCACACAAGGTTCTGTGCTGGAACCTATTCTTTTTCTCATTTACATCAACTCCCCAATTTCGGGAAAGTTTACTCTTTTTACAAATGATACAATTATCTTGTGGCACGGTTCAGATGTGGAAAAATTGAACAATTATATCAATGCAGATTTGAGGAGGGTAAAGGCCTGGTAGGTACTACTCCAATTTATATTTCGAAAACCAATTGTATGAACTTTCGATGCGAACTAGAGAATGTTCACCTGGTAATTATAATGAGAATTTCATACATCTGTCAAAACTGGTATTCCAACAATAAATTGACATGTTTTGATTGTTGATTTGAACCAATCAGATTGTTATTATGCGATAATTTGCACTAGTGCAAATTATCAGATAATTGCATACTAACTGGTGCGAAAACTGGTGTTTTGACATTTTTTGACAAAAAATTTAAATTTTTGATTTATGAAATTCTCTCATTAAATACAACTCGTGCAATGGAAATATATTTATACAAATTTGCACTCATGCATTCGGGCAAATTTCCCAAAAATTATCAATAATTTCCATTGCACTAGTTATATTACTATTGATAATCTTGGTAACTCGACAAAACCATAAGAAATTTTTGGGCCTCACAATTGATAAGTCCTTCAAGTTTGAGGATCACATTTCACAGGGTTTCTTCGGGATGTTATGCGGTAAGAGTGATATCTGGGAACTTTGATGTCTTATGGTTGATTTGGGTTGTATAATGTATAACAAAGAAGAACTTCTATGCAAAATTTCAGAGCTCCATGAGCCATATTTCAAAAAATATCTTCTCCCTTAGGTCTCAGAACTTTTCTAGTATCTTCCACTCATTTTTTACATATCTTAGACGGCATGACACTCTGTATAAAGACCCTGAATCTACATATTTAAAAAATTAAAATATTTCAGCTTTTACAACCTTTTTGTTCACATAATCCTAGAAATTGTATTATTTTGATGTAATTTCTCTTAATCAGTGGAAACATAATCTGTTTTGTTTGCAAAGGTATTTATTTATAAAAAAAAAGATAATTAAGCAGATAAATTTTATCAACAAAACTAAACAAAATCTTTTTGCTCCGGCTCTGGTCCTTCTATAGATCATTCAATATAACAATGAGCTAATTATAATTTAATACTCTCTGTCAGAACGTTTTAGTGGATAGTCTAAAATTATGTATTAATTTTTCATGACCATACAATGGTAACGAACTTACATTGAAGGTTACAAGTAGTATTTGATAAAAATAGAATGAATCATGTGTAAAGCTAACAAAATTGCCGTCTGTGTATTAGTTTTTAGTTGTGTTTACTTCACTGAAGGACTTGAAGGTTGGTAGGTACTTTTTACTAGTAGATTTTTAACTTAAAATCATTATTTTTATATAATATAGGTACTTAAGTATAGTTTATCCAGTCAATTGGAACCAAGTGAACATAAATCATAACTTGGGGCTGACTAGTGGCAGTGCATTTCGTATGGAAATTTTTAGTGACCAATCAGCCACCAGTTGGTACCTTGTTCTAATTGAGTTTGGAAATACTATACCTACCTACCTATTCTTTCCAGATCAAGCCTATTGGAAGCAACTAGGAAAAGATGAACTATCAAAAGCCTTAAAAAAAACCTTCAATAACAACTTAGCTAAAAATGTGATTTTATTTGTTGGAGATGGCATGGGCCTTACCACTTCAACTGCTTCTAGAATTTATGGTAAAGGGGAAAGTGGTCATTTGGCATGGGAATCTTTCGATAACCTAGGAGTATTAAAGGTAATTTGCCAACTTAAAAAAAAAAAAAAAATCAATAAAATGTCATTGTTTTTATTGTAGATTTATTCAGCCAACAAACTTGTCCCAGATTCTTGTAGCACAGCTACAGCCCTTTTCAGTGGAGTAAAAGCCAACCATAAAACTTCAGGTGTAGACAACACCGTACACTTAGACGATTGTGCAGCTTCACTGAAAAAATCAGCTCAACTGGAAAGTTTCATTGATTGGGCCCATGAAGCTGGCAAATCAACAGGATTTGTAACTACCACTAGGGTAACTCATGCTACTCCTAGTGCCCTATACGCGCACACCCCGAACAGAAAGTGGGAATGTGAAGCTTCATTGCCTGAAAATTCCGATTGCAAAGATATAGCTTATCAGCTGATAAATGATAGTCCTGGCAGGAATATTAAAGTTATTATGGGTGGAGGTAGGCAGTGTTTAGTAGCTAATGTTGAAGGTTCAAAATCTGACCCATTGGATACATGGTCTTGCATCAGCAAACAAAAAGGCAGAAATTTGATAAATGATTGGGCCACAAATAAAACCAGCTATCAAATTTTACAAAACAACCAACAGCTTCAGAATATGAATGAATCAGCAGAGTTTACTTTGGGTATATTTGCCAATGGGCACCTGAAAATGGAATATGAACGTGATAAGGGTCCAGAAGGTATGCCCTCTCTTAGTGCTATGACAGAAGCTGCCATTAAACTACTAAAAAAAAACCCAAATGGGTATGCACTTATGGTTGAAGGTGGTAACATCGACCAGGCCCACCATAGAGGCCACGCACGAAAAGCCTTAGACGAAACAATAGCCCTCAGCGATGCAGTGGAAGTAGCCCTCAACCTTACAGACGACCAAGAGACTCTTATCATAGTAACAAGCGATCATTCGCATTCTTTAGTTTTAACAGGATATCCAGACAGGACGCAAGGAGTGCTGGGTCATACTAATTCCGCTATGGACCAAAAAGCTTTTACTAACTTACTGTATGGCACTGGAGGTCCCAATAATTATCAATTTGCTGTGGTGGACGGTCAAGTGCAAAGGCAAGATCCTAGTTCGGAAAATACTACGGATTTTGAGTATTCGCAGCAAGCTGTGGTGTTGAATGATGAGGTAACGCATAGCGGGACTGATGTACTTGTTTATGCAAAAGGTAAGTTTTCATTTAGACTTTTTCTACTAAAGGATCGCACTTTGCCAGGTTTTATTTAGCATTTGATGATTATTGTCCAAAATGTTTAAACCTCATTTCATTGCATATATGCGGAGTAGTAGTAGTTGTAACTGTGCATGAAAGAAAACTGATAAAATGTACATCAAGTACTTTGTCCCACTGTTCAAGTTTAAGATTTCAAAGAGCCAGAGAAATAATGGAAAAGTTTTGATGACAACTAATAGATGAATTTTCACGTGGACTGAAAATCCACTCGTTTGAAGTTGCGACATCAGCATTAGAGATAAACATCCATTGGACGTTCTCAGTTACCTACTTTAACTGTCATTTTTAAAACGTTTTGACGTGCGGTCGGATAGGTACGTTTTTAACGTTTCTGTGCTATATAAAGCTATTCAGTATTCTTTGAAAGAAAAATAATTCGTCGAAACTGATATAAAGTTCCATCTGCTTCAAAAGCAGTGGAATACTTCTTCTTCTTGTATTGGTATTTAAGTACCTACTAAAAATCTATTGTACCAATTTAGTGTATGGAGTTCGGGGGATCACGAAGCACCATCAGGACCTTATGATTTAGATTTTGGAAAACTTTGGAAGGGCATAACTTTTTTTCTATTATAGATAGAAAGCTGAAATTTTCACTGAATCTGATCCCAATGAAGAGACTACAATAGGTAATAAGATAGGTATCATACACTCATCCATATTTCATCAGATATAAATTTGGCGTCTTGGACAGAAAATTTTTGAGACAAAGTTGCAATAGTGTGAGAGATTCTCAAATGTAAATGAGCCAAACAGCACGGTGAACCGATTATTACCGGTGATTTCAAATGTAATTTTAGGAGCTGAATATTGTTTTAGTAAATCTTGGCCAATAACTTAACAATACAAGATCACATAAATCTTGAAGAACAAACGAATAAATGAGTATGAGGTAGTACAGGTCGAAATCTGCAAAACAGTGTCCATAGGTATATTGAAGATTTCAATGTTAAAAGTAATCATGTAAATGACCAATAGGTACCAGGCGGTGAAAACCGATTAAGCTATATTGTTTCTTCTATTTAGAATATCTGTTCCACAGACCTATTAATACTACGAGTTCTTAGGTCTGTGATCTGTTCACACTTTAGGCATACTATACATATAGTGTATCATTCTTGTTTCATTATTGCTTGGTTCTTTATCCAATTGATTCTGGTTGTGGCGAAAGATTGTAAATATGTTGCAGTTGTAAGAGCCACTTGTTATTTTGTAAGAATCGATCAAATCGCCCCAGTGCTGCTTCTTTCTCAACTTGTTAATTTAAATCTCTATAATCTCTCGGGATAGTCTCAAGCTTCTAACTCTAATGTAATTATAGTAACCCTTGTTTAGACTTTTTCCAACATCTCTATATCTTTGATATAGTATGGGGTTCCACACCGCAAAAGCATACTCCAATTTAGGCCTGATGTAGCTTTTGTATAGTTTTGTAACCATCTATACCAAGTGGTCCTTAAAAGCATGTTCGATGAGATAGATTACTGTGTTCGCTTTCTTGACAACTTTGATGATGTGACTTTCCCATTTAAGATTTGATGTCACCGTTTGCTCTGGTACTGTTGAAAGAACTTGAGTTATCAAGCATGTACCTATACCCAATATTTGGATTGTTTTCGCCTATCCTAAGAACGGTACCCTTGGCTGCATTCAGTTTCATCCCCCATGCCCTTGACCACTCCTCAACAGTTCACAAGTGTTTTTGAAGCTGCGCTGCATGTTAATTGTAATATTGGATTCGCATGAAGTTTCCTATCATCTGCAAATTTTGTCATTAATTTTCCATGAGATCCACAGGATCAAAAAGGTATGATGTGAAAAACAATGGTCCTACTACAGACCCCTGAACAACGCCACTACTTACGCGACGTTTATCCAACAACATACCATTGACTAGTACCTGATAATACCTTCCATATAACAAATCGGTTATCAATTCTAGCACCTGTTCCCGTATTCCAAAATGCTCCAACTCTCCCCCAACAATAACAAAGGCTTTTTCATCATCGAGGTAAATTATATCTGTTGGCTAACCAACTCTTTTGTCCAATCATCAAGGCATTCATTGTAGTGGATCGTTTTGCAAGGAAATGTCATAGAAAAATGCTGTTAGCTCCTGCACAACTATTTTTTCCGTGCATTCTTATGGGTCGATAGTTTTATGGTTTATGTCTGTTGCCTTTCTTGTATAAAGGTGTTACTATGGGAAGTTTCCATTTTTCCAGGATTTGCCCAAGCTCCATACACTCCTACTGTGAGTCGACCACCAACTGTTTCTCTACAATAATTTTGAAGTAGTACATACTGTAGTAATTTCATCCGGTCCAGGACTTGAATATTTCTTCATCTTCATTAATTCTTCTTTTGCCTTTCCTTCCGTGAAATCTTTACTATTTATTGAGTTCCCAACGCTGGTATACTGTACAAGTGGCGGTAGGCGGAAATCTTGATGGATAAAAACTGTGTTAAACTTTTTAGCAAAGCTTTCAGCCATTGACTTCTTATCTAGGATCGCCTTTCACGGGATCTTCTATAAAGACCGTTGAGTTTCAAATTTCGATTTAGACATCTGTTTGGTGATTCCTGATATCACTAAATTATATTCATATGTTCTTCTTGATAATAGCTTTCTTGCATTTTTCAAGTTTATCCCATAGTTTACGCTTTTTGTTGATTTCTTTGAAGTGCGACTGGTCAATCTCTCTGGAATGAGGCAAAGTGTATATTTATATACCGGGTGTTTTTCAAAACCCGCTCACCCATATAACTTTTTTATTTTTTCAAATAAACAAATGAAATTTGGTGTGTTTATTTATGACCCGGATGTGCATTATTTGACGTATTCAATTTTTTACTATCACTTCCGGTTTGACTGGAAGTGACCCTAACTTCCTTATTTTAAATGAGACGCCAGGTAAATTTTTCCTCATTTCAATAGAAAACTACATTACGAGTACAATGACACCTCATTTGTCACTTTTTGACATTTCACCTCCAAATTATTTAAATTTTTACTTTTTAATCTAGAGCGCCATGAATAAGTTAAAATGCTTAATTTTGCTCCCAGAAACATGGGAGAATTTGTTTTGAGCTTATTTTGAATTTTATATCCTCTAAAGGCTCATTTAAAGTTAGTAGCAGCGCATTTTTGGAATTATATCAATTTTTTCAAATGGAAAGGGTATGGCTTATTAGCATATTTCGAGAAAGAATTTTCTAACCAACAATTCAGTACCGCACAATCGCTAGTTTATTCAAATATTGAACTAAAATTTTCCAAAAATATTTAGAATGCTGGAAAAATTCTTAATTTGAGTGATGAACTAGCGATTGTGTGGTACTGAATTGCTCGTTAGCTGGAATATGCTCATGAGCCATACCCTTTCCATTTGAAAAAAACTGATATAATTCTAAAAATGCGCATCTACTATCTTTAAATGAGTCTGTAGAGGATATAAAATACAAAATAAGATCAAAACAAATTTTCCCATGTTCCTAGGAGCAAAATTAAGCATTTTGACTTATTCATGGTGCTCTAGATTTAAAAGTAAAAATTTAAATAATTTGGTGATGAAATGTCAAAAAGTGACAAATGAGGTGTCATTGTACTCGTAATGTAGTTTTCTATTAAAATGAGGAAAAATATACCTAGCGTCTCATTTAAAATAAGAAATTTAGGGTCACTTCCGGTCAAACCGGAAGTGATAGTAAAAAATTAAATACGTCAAATAATGCACATCCGGGTCATAAATAAACACACCAAATTTCATTTGTTTATCTGGAAAAATAAAAAAGTTATAGGGGTGAGCGGGTTTTGAAAAACACCCGGTATAGGTTCGGAAGCTTCTAATATCTATTATTAAAGCGTCAGGACTCAGCAGGAGTTCCAATAATTTTTATTTTCACTATTTTTTTGCAGCAGGTACTTATTATTGAAGTTGATGAAGGATTATATACAGGGTGACTCAGAGTAAATTTCCCTTTTCGAACGCGTTCTGTAGGTACATCCTACTTAATATTTGTGGTTAGCGCCGGCAATTTACGGCGACTGTTTGCGGATTATCAGTAAACATGGAGCAGTGGTCGAACAAGCAACGCGCGTTTAGTGTCGAGGCGTTTTTTAAATCAAACGATTCCTATGTCGCGTTAAGGCGTCGTTTTTGTAACCGTTACAATATTCGGCGTATACGTGATACTCCGTCAAAAAATTTATTGAAATTATGGGTTCAAAGATTCAGACAGTGGTCCAATGGCAAAGCCGAAGCGTTCGGCCAACAGAAGTCCATCAAAACGCCAGAAAACAATGGAATTGTGCTACGTGCTGCGACCGAAAATCCGAGGCGCTCAATTCGAAAACATGGTGGGACGCTTCTGATTTGTCAATTGCCACTGTACCACTTTGAATCTTTGAACCAAGGGCGTACCCAGCGAGGGTCAGGGGGGGCAGCTGCCCCCCCCCTAAAATTTTTTATAAATTATAAAAAGGCTCCGCTAAGTGCAGAAAATAAAAAAATCAAAATAAACCACTATGGTTTTACTAAAAAAATTACAAACCCGAAAAATATACTACTAAATACTACTAAAATATATTCATATACCTACGTAAGTCAAACGCAGCGCACTGCACAGCCTACTAGATTTGCAATTAGCGGAATTAGCAAAGAAATATGAATTTTCTATTACGATCCTGGCCCCTGCGAATTTGTTGTATTGTGTTGTTTTTCTAACGGAATTCGATTATTTTCATTTGTTATTCAATGTTAATTTGTTTGTGCAAGTACTGCAAGTAAACTTAATTTACTTAGTTGTTGATAAACGTCTATGCTATGTTGTTAGCAGTTACGTTACACTAGTAAACATTGTCAGAAATTTATATTAGATTGTACTGTAACGAAAATTACCCTGAGTCCGCCTCTGACTCTTCCCGGCAGCGT